TTTGGCTAGACGGTATTTCTGATAATTAAATGTTTATTCACCTGAACGGTCAAACGGACTTCTGAACTATTTCGTTGCTCGATATCTCGACTTTTTATGTACGTAACAATTATTTTGTACAAGTAGATTCTAAGTTTAATAGCTTGATTATGATTTGACAATGTTTAATCGACTACGATTGAGAGCATCAAAATCGTTCGAGCAAAATTAGTCGTTCGGAAGTTGTTTGAACTTGATTGACATCCTGTCTACGACGAAAAGTTGGGGCAAACGCGGCTTTCGAGACCACCGGAGAGTTTCGATCGACGGGAAATAATGGAAATTATGTATTACGCCCTGAAACCGAACGTGACTGGGGGCCGAGCGTAACCCAGATCGAAAATAGCCTAAACCGAGAGGGGCTCGGCTTAGTTTAGCCTCAACTTTGCGTGATCCGAGCGTGGAACAACCTGGACCAAAGCATCCTAGGTACATTTAGTAGTCCTCGTAGCTCCTACGCAGGACGTTCCAAGTTTTATCGATCAAAATATGACAGTATATTCTACAAACAATGACTACAAAATAAACAAGTATTTATTCGTACGAATCTGTTGTTCGTATAAAATTTTGTCCGTTTCTACCGAGACCTAGAGTACTTTTCCGCGGATCTAATAGATCTTGGACCACGCAGAAGTTGGCTCAGGCTAGATTAAACGCTAGATACGCTGATCGTACGCAAACCTAGTGCAAACGAGAGTTTAGAACGGCACCAAGTCGGGTAATGGTCCAAGCTTAATAAAACATAAATTCTATTATGACAGTAGTGTATGCCTCGCGTGGGATGAGGTCAGCCGACAAAAGGAAAGTGCTCGTTCTTTCTTCACCTGATAAGACTGTTTTCTCGGTTACAAAGAGCCGGGCTAACAATGAGGTATGCTCGGTTACGCAATAAACCATGCGTGTGTATGCTGATTGTGCAATAAAATGACTGTGTGCTTAACAACGCAACGTTTCCAAAAGAAACAACCCGCGTTAACGTATCCCGATCGTTGTTGTTTAACCATCGCGTAGCGTAGATTCGGTCTCACGATATTAAACTACCAATTTTATAAGATAAATAAGCAAAATATACCTGACCACTTTATTTTAACGCAAGTAAAATTAGTATAATATTATTGTACACGTTTGCGAACTTTTTTTCATTTCCGCGAAGAAAGGAATTAACGAACCATAATCGTACAAATGTTTGGCCAGAAGCGGTATTGATTTACACGTTAACCAGACATTTTCGTTCTGAGTCCAAGGTGCAACGCGACGAAACAATCACCGAGAATCGTTTAGCCAAACATCGCGACACGTATCAACAAATTTCGGTCGCTTTGACATCGAAGCCACGCAACGAGTCGTACATGCTGATTTCGCAGACTTCGTTTTTCGACGCGTACATATGCTGTGTCACTATTGTTATGCAACTAATCGCCGTCAGTCAGACGCGGACAGGTAATAAATCTGCCGTGCACGATTCCGGAGCGAAAAATGATTCGTGCAAAAATTGAGAAATACAAATTCTCATCATCTCTGAATATACTCAGACCTGATCGTTGGATCTGTGAAATCCGACTGGGAACGATTTATTAAAGATGTTAATTTTCGTACGCCTAGCTTACCGTATTTTAGAAGCTATTAGTATATACCGATTAAGCACCACTATTATGTAAATATATTTAAATACACTTTCGTTCCAAAAATTTGTCGATAGATTAAAAGTAATCGAAACCCGTTTCTAATAAATACGGTTGTGTTCTCCGAGCAAATATTATCTCTAAACGCATTTATCGGTCGATAGCTATCTGAGCGACAATATTATTTAACCGTTTTTCGCGGATAGAATTTATTACCGTTGCGCGGTCGTTTTCACGAAACCGTCAATTCGCGACTCGCGCTTAATTATATACGATTATGCAACGAAAAGCGTTTTAAACGACCAGGTTACGGGCGCCTTATCGGCGGAGTCGTTGCTCCTTATCGCTCGGGGCATTACGACGACACAAATGCAACCGACCAACGGAACGTTCGTTTATTTTATTGCGCACGCACTCGCCGCGGCATCGTGGATTTGCTGCTCCCATATTTAACATGACTTTAGCATTACGATTTCAGATCGAAATCTTATAAATCAAACGAAACGCTGTTCGATACTGGCCGAACCCGCGTACAAGGTATCCGAGGGGCAGAAAAAATCGAGCAACGCGCACTTGTACGTTCGATCGTAATTCATGAACGTCCTATGCGACCTCGTTCCCGAGTTACGGCCATTTTTGCATTTCGGTAACTCCCCTGGACAAGCTTTCACGACTTTCGTAACGAACCGTGTAACGATGGAAGCTCGGCGAGTCGACGGGGAACCGCGTTACAGCAATATTTACCCATCCGAACATTGAGTTTCACGCGCGAGCAGGTCCCTCGAACTCGAAGGACCCCGGAAACAACGCGCCTAATCGATGGTGCACCGCCGTTGCCAACGAGGGCAGAGTGAAAATCACGCGTGAATTAACAAGGTCCGCTTAATTAAGGAGTCGGTACCACGCGGCGACATCTGTTACGCACCGTTCGCGTCGCTCGATCTTTAAAGGCCTTTAAGGCCTTAAGGCGCCTTCTAATTATTCACTTTCTCCGGCGTCTTGCGATGAAACGGCCGAGATTTACGGGCTCGCGTCTCGCTCGATGTAATTTCGATGATAGTCCCGATGGAGGAACGACAATGGTGCCCCGAGCTCTCGTTCCTCGATTCGCGCTCCCTTCCGCGTTCCTCGCCGCCACGGGACGCTTATTTATCGATTTTACGATCCTCGATCTCCGTTTATTATTTGCAACCGTCCATACCGTGATTTACGACTAATTCTCGAAACAACTGCGACCCTGTATAATTGGCTGGACGGCGTTTTACGCCCGATCCACTTTGGCCGCGAACAACCGAAATTAATCGCGTCGAGGACCTCGCGGGTTCCACATCGGCTGAATCTTCAAATTTAAAATTTATTCAATCCCATCTCCGTTGGAACGTCTCACGGTTCGAATAAATGCAAATTCGGGTGACGAAAAACACGCAACGCAGCTTTTTTACCAGCATTCTTTGTTGTTTACTTCGGAAAGAATAAAAAATTAATAAAAGATAATCGAACAGAGTTATTGGTTCAAGTTGATTTTAATTTCGAAATCGACGATGAATAACTTCTCCTCTGTGTCATTTCTGTGTATTCTGATAAGTTAAACACTGTTATCGTTGCAAGCGATCATGAATTTTCTTAGTTTTGAAAAGTTATTCGATGAGGTTCGAGGGCGTTGCACGAAGGATCTTCAAACTAAATGACTCGGGATCTAATAGGAAATGCAACGCACTAAAAGAGTTCCAGTAAACTTACGCCCCGAAATGCTTCCTTAAGAAGTTATTGCTAACAATCTTTCCGTGGCCAGACGCTGCGGCGATAAGGTTTTATGGCTCGAAGATAATTCGAAGATTTAGAGACCTTTCCCCGGGAGAACATAATTTTTTATCTTTCTTATTGCGTGTATCTGTACACTTCTGTGGTTTATTCAGGAATAACGGTTGCTTGTTCCACCGTTTGCATTCTACACCTCTGAAAGTACGATCTGCATCGTACCCTTGGAAGAATTTTACCTCCTTTGATTTTATCTGGCTTCTACGCACGCTGGATGCCAAACTTTCTTCGTTTCCGAAAGCTGAAAAGGGTTCTGGAAACTCGATACCGAGGCGGAAGATCGTAGAATAAAATCGCACGAATATCGATCGAGTTCTATGTGAAATTGAATTTAATATTAAGCGTGTCGACGGTCGAACGAAAGCGCGTCTCGGAAGAGCCGAGGCCGGGCAACCGGAAGAGGAATCCCCGATTCTTCGTGTACGCGAGAAAAACTCACGGAAGCCCGGTCGCAGCTGTCATAGAAAATCAAGGGAGAGTCTGTTGATCGAGGCCAAACACGGTCATCCATGAAACCGCTTTCTACTCGTGCGTTTCTCGTCGGCGCACCGTGGACTCGCGTCTTCAAAGAAAGACACGGGATTCGATAATCGATCGTTTCAATTCGCACCCCGCAGCCTGTGCAACGCGACGTCAAATGAATCGCAAAATGCTTACCAACCACGATATTCCCGACTAGATCGTTTCCACCGTTCAAGTCGACGAATTGATTTCTCTATGCCTCCGATTCGAATCTCGATTTTTCGAGGACCCAACTCGACCGTCGACGCTCCAAAAATTTTCCACGCGTCTCCAAACATCTGGTTGAAACGGATCGAAGCTACCAGTTGGACCGCCGTGAATTTAACTTCGAAATCGTTGGTTCGTTCTTATCGATCCGCGCGTGATAGGGAGGGAGGGGGATAAAAATCGGATACGAAGCGCGTTAAAGGATCTCGTACGTCGCTCGCGGGAGAAAGTTTAGAAAGGAACGGGATCCGTTCGTGGTCGTAAATATAAAACAAGAAGAAAAACCGGACGATCGACGGGAACTGTTTACATTTCACGAGTCACGTTTTCGCGTACGATGCAATACGAGAAAGAAAGAGAGTCGGCTTAATAGAAAGAATGATCGCGCACGGGGCGGGAATCGTAAAAAAAGGTATCGTTTCAGCGCGTCGACGGCGCGGAAGATACCAGGGCTCTGCACGCTTATCCTCGCTTTCTCGATAATGAGAAAATTGCGCGGTTCGATCGATCTTGTAACACGATCTGCCGATCATAGACTGTCGATAACGCGCCGCGCGCGCCCCGAGGCGTCGGAACGGAAGTGATCGATGGGCACGGCGTAGCATTTCCGATCTCCACCTCCGATCGTTCCTCGACGCTTCCGCGAGAGCTGCTCGATCCTTTCGAAAGGAACCGAAAAGCTACCAAATTTAGGCTTCGAACTATATTTGTGAAACGCGAATGGTGGACACCGGTGTCCGTCGCGACAGTGAACGCGTTAATGGTACCATCGATCGAGAAATTTTCGCTCACCTTCGTCCGATTCAGCGGATTCGAGAAGTCCCAGCCGGGGGCGACGAACAGGTATCCGCATTTTGAAATCTTCCTCGTGGCCTGAAACAAAAAGACAGAGTCAGTATTTACGCGCACGTGTATGGAAGAAACACGGGTCATCGATTTATTATGTCTGTTAAAAAAAAGAAGTGAAGCTCACAGGGTATTAATAAAATTGTACGAACGAAACTCCAAATGTTATTAAAACTAATATTTCTTGGGAGCGCAGCAATTTCTTTGCCATTTCTGGCTCGCTTTATTTTCGACGTTTCGAGCCGCGCTTTCACGCGATTTTTATATTAAACTTATAATTCTCGAAAATAAAAGAACGCACAACTCCAGGTAAGCCGAAATAAAAACGTATCTCCGACGCCGAGCGATACTTAACGGAGCAAAAAAGGCGAACATTACGTTCCCGGGTCGAAATTTTATTCGACCATCCAGCTCCGTCGACCAGTAAAAAATAACTCGAAAAAACCGACTTACGAACTATCGTGAGTTACGAGGCGGCGGAGAAGTAATCGTCGATGGCCCCAAATAGCCTAATTGCTCCAAGAGATCCGGGTTCGACTACCCCGCAGATTTGTTAAAGGACTGTCGTCGTTTCGAGTTCGTGGAAAAAAAAAGTTAAGTTGTTTCGATTATTAAAAAAGTTTCGATCGAGCGAAACACGACCGGAATATAAAGCACGAAAAAGCAATTTGCCGTCTGGCGAAACGGGCCGTTCCATCCGCCACGCACCGGCGTCTAATCAAAGTTTCCGGCGACGCCGCCGCCGCGCCGGATCCTCTTCAAACTCTATTATTATGTTTGGACGAAGATTTAGGGGCTACCGCGTGCAGGAAAAACGACGGAGGACGGGGATCGAAGGGCACAGGGACGTCGGAAGGGAAACAGAAGCAGCAGCCATTCAGGTGGAAAGGAAAGTCACGTGAGCCAGGTACGTATCTCCGAAGAATCTTAAATCGGTCATTCATCAAGAGCTCCGAGCCAGACAGCGTTTCCTCTCTCATCCATTTCACGTGTTTCCTCGCTTGTTCGTGCCTATAAAGGTTCATTCACACTATCCACCGGGCGAGCACGTTTACAAACACGCATCCACGGGGTTTTTAACCCTGCTCTGTAATTACTTTCGAATCGAGTCCATAATCGTCCTCCGTGGTCCGTAATTAAGTCCACGAAATTTGGGACGAATAAAAATATTACTTTCGTCTTTATTACATACTTTGATTGCGGAAAGTTTACAGAAAATTTAAAGTAACGTTAAATGTTTGTGATTGAAATTGAAAAATTTCACTCGGTGTAATTAATACAGAGCGCGTCGAGTATATGATAATTAGAATACTGCGAGAAACGACGCCATAATCTTAATTGCATTCAGCTCGAGTGTCGCACTAGTGCGAATTAAGGACCCCGGCCTAGAAAGACGAATGGAATTTCTACCACTGTCGCGCCTCTCGCAAAAATGGTTGATGAATCGAAATCCACTCGAAGCCTATTCAAACATGGCTAACGGTGCCGTGTGATATCACAATGGACTATGCTCGCATCGCGGTTCGTTACACGCTGAAACGTTCCGTCACGAACCACTTCGTTGTCCTAAACAGTTACTTTCAGCAAGTTGGACGCGTTTGTTACCAATATCGAGACTAGAAACGCTTAATTTACTTTCACGAAAAATGGAGTACTTTTTCTTTGGAAGTTTCTCGTTTCAATTTGGCTCGAGAGAAACGATCCGCGAAATTCTGGAGCAGCGAAATTTAATTTAAAAACTTTGACTTTCGTAAACGTGACGGTTCGATAATGTCAAAATTTTCGAAATAAAGAGAAAATGCATGAAATTTCCATGCATTTCGTGAAAGGAGAACCGCGAGGGGCAAAGCTGGCTCGAGAAAGAGAGAGAAAAGGTCCAAGCAAGAAAAGTAATACGTCTTCACGGCTGACAATGATTTTCCAGTGCGTGGCAATCACGAAACGAGGCGATCATCAGCCCGGGCAGAGAGGCAAGAACGAGAATTCACTCTGCTTTATGGAGAAATAAAGTCGGTCTGGCAGCGCTCGAGGTTGCGTTCCCCGGTGCCCGAGCGCGTCTTTCTTTGGAGAAAATTATGGTGCTCCCTTGTATGGGCTAAACAAAAGATCACGGACACCGACAAAAAGCTCCGATGCCTAAACACGCGGTAACGCGCGTGCACACCGCGGAATTCCATTGTGAACGCTTTAACAGAAACCTTGTCTACGATAAACTAATTTACGCGCCGCGGACGAGCCGATTCTCTCCAACGAGCGCAATTACCACCAGAGATAAAATGCTTACGCGCTTGTTACTGTCGCGTACAGCGTCGAAAAACTCATCGTACGTGGGAAAATACGCTCCTACGTTCTTTTCGTGCTCGCCTACCGTTCAGGCGAAAACTCGACGTTGGCGGGGGATCGCCAGGAACGCGATTATTCTCGAAAAATTAAGGGTAACTCGCGAAATTGATCCCTACGCCTTTCATTCGATCCAATCGTCGACTGTAAATCTCTGGAAAACTTAATTCCAATCGTTAAAAAAGAAAATCAAATCGTATTCAAAAGAATACTTATTTGATAGACGATTAATGCAACCATACGTGTCGGGTTTTACGCTTCGACAAGTTGAAACAGTCGTATTCCTAACAACTTTCTAATTTATTTCGAACATTCGAGGAGATAAAGCGTGTAGCATCTTCCCGGTTACGTAACAGGCATTTCACCTAACTATACGCGGTTCAAGATTGATTAGGATCATGATCGATTCGACGATGCAATTATCACGGCTCATCGTCGAGGGGAATATTAAACAGACCATTTTTCAAAGTTCCGACGAAGCAATTGTGTTGGATTTGAGAGTAATGCGAGTCTTCTTCTGTCGAAATATTTAAGGGTATGCATTTTAATCGGCTTATAAATATTAATAAATGGTAATACGCGTATTTTATGTTTCACCGATCTTAGGCGCGCGCAGATTCATTATGCGATCATTTTTATGAAAATTGACCGATGAAATAACACCTTTTATTCGCCGCGGCTGGTCTTGCGCCACTTTCGACGAATATTACACCTTCGGTGTTTTTATTTTTCCTCTTGCGGGAGAACAAAGCAATGGAATCGAGTTATTCGCTTTTAAGTAGAATAAAACAGTCTGACGCAAGACCAGGCTTAAATACGATCAAAAATCAGTGATCGTAGAGTTATTTTATTTCACCCTTTCAATTTTGGGGAACACAGGAGCCAGGATTGATAATCTAGTAAGCCTATCGTGAACGAGCAAAGTCGCGGTTAGACCAAGGATCGATCTCGTGAAATCTCGACCAGACATTCGATCCGTTCGTAAAGATAATTCGACGCTCTCGATGGAAGTTTTTTATTTCGTCGGCTCAAATCGATTGCGTCGAATCTACGCTCTGTTTAACAGCTTTCCGTCCGGGCAGCGCTGATTTCCTGTCGCCGGGCGCGCGTTCACAATTGACTTCCGGTCTGTCTCTGCGAGCCACGGTATCCCATTGGACAAAAGCGCGATGGAAAACTACCGACGATCGGACAGATTTACCATCGCATCGGATCTTTATTGCGCTTGCCAGCGGATGCAAAACGAGAAACGCGCGACGCGCGGAATGGAAATCGAAATGCTGTTTCTACCGTCGGGAGCATTTATTTTTAGCACCTGAGAAGCGTCAGGGATCAAGGCGATCCGATCGACGATACGAGAAGAACATCGTCGCAGGCAACCGCCGTGAACGGGACGAAATATGTTTACCAAACAATGGCCGACGATCTAAATTAAGGGCGGGTTACGCCTTTCAGCGTCTTATATTTTAATAAGGATTCTAATCATTCTTCTAAACTCGAGTTTAGCTCTTCGGAGTCGACTGTCCTGCTGCTAGCGACAGGTTGACGACCCGTAAACCGAAGTCTCCGCGCCTTGAGTTTACCAGGGGACAAGAAACTAAGAAATATTGCCCGGTGAATAGCGGTCGTAAAGCTAGGAGTAGCTTCACGGGTCTTTCGAGTGTCTCTGCTGAATCATATTTCCAACGTCCATCGAGAGTTCCGGCGGGATATCTGAATCGACTTCGCGGGCCCAATTCGATAGCTCGGAGCAACGCCTCTGCTCCCACGAACGAGCCGCGGCCGATACTAATTAATATCGCAATCTTCATCGATACCTCTATAAATCATCCCAACCCTGGACAGGCTGGCCGAGAGAAATCTCTCTTGGTTGGCCGAGGTGTTAAGCATCCATCGTCCCGGTCTCGGTCGAACGATCGATCGACGCCGATTTACTAATCCGAAGCCGAAAGAACGGAACGCGGAGCGACCCGCTGGGACGGTGTTGCGCAATCAGAGACACTTGTCCCGCGATTGGCAATAATTGGACGACAGGTTGATCGGCTGCTGGAAGGGGTCCACAGGTTCCTCGCCAGGTCGTCCTTGACACGGTTCGACCGAGTCCTTGCCAGTCCTTAAGCTCTAAACGCGACCCAGATGCGGGGCCCACTCGCCTCTAATCTCCAATAAGGTCGAGAGACGACGAAGGTGGCCCCCGCCGACGTTGGCGTAGGTGCACGCACTGTAAACCGAGCGTCGCCGAGGCGGCGAGCTGCGCTTTATTAAGGCAATTAAAGATCTGGCTCGCTCGCCACCTCGTTAGCCAATCAGAGCATGGCGTGGGCGACGCCCGGCCAATAAGACAATCCCGTTCGACGCGTTAACGCTTTCCGAGCGGAGGCGGGAGTACGAGTTTCGCGCTCCCGGTCAAATCTTAACGACGACGTTGGCACACTCTTGTCTCAACGCTCTCGCTGGGTGGCCGGATTATTACAAAATTCCTATCGATTTTGTTAGATATTCGGTGGAGTATATAGACTGCAGATGATCATGTCAAAATATGTAAGTGACATATGTCACACATGTATCAATAATATGCCAAAATATATTCAAAATTATGTTCAAATAATTTTATTACTTGAACATAATAATAATCAATTATTATTTAAATTACAATGTTACGGGTATTTTTTCAATATTGTCGAGAG